CCCTTCACAGCCGGGGTTCTCAGGCTGTGAGAAGTCCCCCAACAGCAAACCTGTTGAGGGAGAATGAGCTACCTGACTAGGAAGGGTGGTGCAGCTTCGGATTGTGCCACAAGACATCTGTCTGAAGATTGCCAGACTGTTAATTCTACTCTTAATTGGTGGAGTTAAACATGGAGAAACTAAAAACAAATCTGAGATCCCAAACTAATCAGGACTGAGCCAAAGCAGAATGATGTTTGAATGTTCTCCACGTGGAACATTTATACCTCTTCATGCATTCATCACAGGCTGTGCATCTCGGCTCTCATAGCCAGGCTGACCTTCAGGGACTGAGCTTTTGTGGTACAATGTTTAAGAGTGGGAAATAGTATTGTTGAATTTGCCTCACATGTGGAACGATGCTTTTGGGAGGGAACAGTGGTTTATGTTACATTCTGTTCATACATGGATTGAACACAGAGGGAGTTAATACATGGGGCAGTTAGGATATTTCAGAGAAAGGATTAAAAGCTAGGACTGGGACCTATAGCCTGAGGACCTGTTGCCTAATTTGTGATGAAAGAATCTTGGTTGTGGGGAAGAGCTGAGTGATGGGAGTGTTTGGGTCTGGAGTACAATGCCCTGGGCCCAAAGTGTGACAGGAGCAGAAGGGTGGGCTGGAAATCTACAGTGTGTGTGTCTGTCCCTGAGCTCTTCATACAGGCACAGGATGGAGTGAGGATTGAAAAGGCAGTGCTTTTCCTAGAAAGTAAGCATTGAGCTTCAAATCTAAAGTTACATTATCAGTTCTTACCAAAGTTAATTTTCACAGCTCTTACCAAAGTTATGTTAACATAGTTCTTACCAAAGTTACATTAACACAGTTCTTACCAAAGTTACACTAACACAGTTCTTACCATAGTTACATTTACACAGCTCTTACCAAAGTTACATTAACACAGCTCTTACCAAAGTTACACTAACACAGCTCTTACCAAAGTTACATTAACACAGTTCTTACCAAAGTTACGTTAACATAGCTCCTACCAAAGTTACATTAACACAGCTCTTATCAAAGTTATGTTAACACAGCTCTTACCAAAGTTACATTAACACAGACAGGTCTTACCAAAGTAATGTTAACACAGCTCTTACCAAAGTTACATTATCACAGCTCTTAGGAATCTTCCATTGGATACAGTCAGGTACAGCTCACCCTTAGCACATGTGTAGATTCCTTTATTCAAACGAGAAGCTGTTATGAAGAAACACTTAAAACTATTTGATTTGAATCTAAATGTGTATCTCGTTGATGTCTAAACTGAGAGGTAACTATTCTAGTGGGTGTGTTTGTGACCTAATGGGATGTATTCAAAAGGACAAATCTCCCATCCCTTACACACACAGTGATCATACCGTTGTGCGAATAAAGAGCAAGTGGACTGCCCATGGCGTGAGACTCACCACAGGGGCCAGCATCCTTCTTTCGGTCATAGTCCACCATCTACTCCCAGCCTTCTTATCTGTAAACAATGGCATGTGTCCCCATGTTATCCATTGCACCATAAGGTTCCCTGGGTTTTGACAAATGTGTAGTATCAATGTTCACCGCCATAGTATTAGAGAATAATTTCTTGGCCCCATGAGATCTGTGTTTCACCCAGTCAGCTTCCCTCCATTTTTCTGGACTGAGACACTTCAGTTACTGATCTTTTCCTATTTACCCCAGACGACTTCCTCCTCCTCCTCCTTTTTTCCTTCTTCCTCCACCTTCTTTTTCTTTCTTCTTCTTGTGTTTCATATCTGCAACTGTTTAATGTTTGGCCCTGCAGGGTAGCTTGTAAAAACCTGAATAGTCCTGTAAAAACTGACAGCCCTGTACTCCCGTGTCACTACAGGACTGGTACTCGAGCCGGGAACTAAGCTGGAGACTTAAATACACATAGACAGAGACACACAAAGAGAGATGCGGACACGGGTCATCCCTGATACAAGAATGCCAATGCCAACTTTATTGTGCTCAGCGAAAGCTTATATATGAATCCTTAGCCACATTTCAGCTCTTGGGATCTTTCAGCTGCAGTCCCACCAGCCAGCCATCAGGGTCTCATGCTCAGAGCAGTTGCAGGCACAGGTGTTTTGCTGAGTTCACTCCAGCAGGCAAAGGGTCTGAGAAAGTCAAGGGGCCAGGGATCTGTAGCTCCCAACAATAGCTTATCTCCCTGTTACTGCTCATCTAGGTTTTGTCCTGGCTTCTCATCATTTCTTCTTATCACGAACTAACATTTAGTTATGTACACAGCTTATCAGTGTCTTCACTCCCTAGAAGGGAGCTTACATGCCTCCAGAATTAGCAGATTATGGAAGAAAGCCATTTACAAAATGTCCACATGCAGGTCTTTATGTGGACACGGGTTTCCATGTAAGTTGGGCTATGTTGACTATGAGGGATATTATTATTATGGTGTTATACAGGACAACTTTTAAACTAATAAGCCATCTTTCAAAACTAGACCAGCAGAGAGCAAGGACTGATGCTCTGTTCCACACCAACAATTAGTGCTCCGGGGGTTTTGGACTTTAGGCACAGTAATAACTATGTAGCTGAGTCTTGTTTTCACATTACCTTCAGCTCACTAATGACCAATTAGTACCTTTTTTTGTGTTTATCTGTGATATTCACATCTTCTTTGTTAAGGGGTTTGTTCTACATTGAGTCTATTTTTAAAGACTAGCTGTTTGCTTATGGTTGACTTTTAAGAGGATATTTTGGATGCAGGTCCTTTATGTAATATACAATTTGCAAACAGGACATAGCTATAATGGGCTGAAATAACAAGGAGCCCAAGTTCCAGCAGTCTCTGCAGCCTGGCTTTCTGGGAAATAGGAAGAAGTAGAAACAGGGAAGGGGGCCTGAGAGGTAAAATTTCTTCAGAAAAAACTGGGAGGGTGACTACTTTAGTCTCACAGAATGCTCTTTCTTGAGGTCATAGAGGAGTGTGCAAAGACCAGAGATGGGAAACGTGTTGGGATTCCTGGCTCACAGTGTGGGCATCCTGGTGGGTGGGTAACAAGAACACAGAAGTCATGGGCATCTGGAACATTAGCATGAAGACGATGAGATCAGCCATCAAAGTGGTGGAAGGGTGTAAGAAAAAGGAGTATTATCTTCGTATCAGCTATCTCCCACAAGGTCCCCATTCACCAGTGTGGGAGGTCCTTCTGTCTGTATGTTGCTTTTATTGGTTAATGAATAAAGAACTGCTTTGAGCCCATGGCAGGGAAAAACAGAACTAGGTGGGAAAAGCTAGGCTGTATGCTGGGAGAAAGAGGGCAGAGTCAGGGAGAAGCCATGGAACCGCCGGAGACAGACGCTGGGAACTTTATCTGGTAAGCCACAGCCACATGGTGATATACAGATGAATAGAAATGGTTAAATTAATGTAAGACTTAGCCAATAAGAAGCTAGAGCTAATGGGCCTAGCAGTAGTTTAATTAATACAGCTTCTGTGTGATTATTTCGGGGCTAAGCTAGCCGGCCAGCCAGGAACCAACAAGTGTCTCTCTCCTCCCTCCAACACCCCATCCTATCACCTTCATGTCAGTACCTGATTCTTTCTGTACCTAGGGATGTGCCCTGCCCTCTCAGGTGAGCACTCCACTCTAATAAGCCGTTTGTCTTTAGCATCTTGTAGTAAGTTTTAAGTCAGATTCTGTTCCAGAGGTGTTTTTTTTTGCCCTCTGCAGAGAATACAATGGGTCTCCCTTCTTCTCTCATGTGATGTGTGTGTTGTGTGTGCCCTTTGCTTTGTGCAGAATACGATGGGTCTCCTTCCCCTCTCTTGTGTGCTGTGTGTTTTGTGTGCCCTTTTCCCTGTGCAGAATACGATGGGTCTCCTTCCCCTCCCTCATGTGCTGTGTGTGTTGTGTGTACTCTTTGCCCTGTGCTGAGAATACAATGGGTCGCCTTCTCTTTCGTGTGCTGTGTGTGTTGTGTGTGTTGCAGTTGGCTGTTAGGAGAATGATTTCTTTGAAAGAAGCCATCTGCCTTCCCAGCGACCCTGTTCCACTGTAAGATTCTCACAGCTGTGATTCGAGTGCTCAGCAGAATTAATTAACACGTGTGGATTCTCTGCTTTGTGGAAATGTGCGGCCTACTCTCTGCAGGGTTAGAATTAGACTTAGTTTCCTTCTTTTTTATGTCAAAGTCACTGTCTGTCAGTGTCGTCATCCAGCCATTCCTACAGATGACCGCTCATGAAATCTCAGTGAACAGGCATAGTGACAGCAATTTTCACACCCAGCTTGTGTTTGGGATTATTTCAATCTAAAAAAGATGCCACTTTATATTTTTGATATGAAAATATATGAAATTATCTGTAGCCAACAGTTTTCGTTGGACAGAAACTTCATTGCTAATGATGGAGAAATGACAAGAGCATTCTGAAGTGACATTGGTTGGACCAGCGGCTCTAGTGCCTCTGTGGAAAGGGAGGAATTTGAGTTGACAGCAATAAAGACGAACAGCGACGAACACATTCATCCAGTCACTGGTACCCATCCATGGTGCCTTGCCAGGTTTAGCTGGTAGTGCTTACCTCAGTGTAAGTGTTTCATGCAACCTAACATACAATAGAAAGGCACCGTCTGGCTCACGGGGCCCCAGAACTGACAGCGGGGAAATAGCTACTTGGTGTGACTTACCATCTACCACTTCAGATACCAATTCTGACTTCACAGTCCTTAGCTTTACTCTTTTCTTGTGGTCATAACATAAAATAACACCTTAGCATGCGGACATAAGCAGGTGAGCTTTCGTGGCACCTTGTAGCATCATCGCCTATTGCCCGTGCGCTTCCAAAGCTTTGCCCTTTCGTCTTCCCATGAAGTCACCCCGCCTGTCCCAGCTCCCTGCAGCAGAGGGAACTTCCTAACTGCTAGCACAATGGGTTGGTACACCGTGTGTTTCCTGTTTGAAGTCACCGCATGGGTGAATTTTATTCTTTGCAATTCCTTTGCAGGTTTGACGGATGAGAAAGTGAAGGCCTACCTCTCTCTCCACCCCCAGGTCTTAGATGAGTTTGTTTCCGAAAGCGTGAGCGCCGAGACTGTAGAAAAGTGGCTGAAGAGAAAAAACAACAAAGTTGAAGGTAAGACGCCACCTGCTTGCTCGCGCCAAGTGTCCGCAGATCTCAGACCAAGCCTTCCTAGCTCATGATGGGACATCATACTTTAGAAAAACAAAACATGTTTAATCACAGCACTCGGGAGGCAGAGGCAGAGGCAGGCGGATCTCTGTGAGTTTGAGGTCAGTCTGGTTTACAGAGCTAGTCTAGGACAGCCAGGGATACACAGAAAAAACCCTGTCTTAAAAAAAACAAAACAAACAAGCAAAAAATAAAAAGAGAAGAAAACAAAATATGAAATAGAGGTTTATATTTTATTTCTGTATTTTTTTAAAAGATAACATTGTTAGAGGAGCTAAATGAATATGAGAAAAAATCCTTAATTATAAAAGCACTTGGCAAATAACTGCTGAGAATTTTTTAGTGTTTGTTGTATTAGTCTTGTGGAGTCACTGCAGTGCGGTGTCTCAGGCTGTGAACTGAGAAGAGAAAAGATGAATTTGTTTCCAGTTCAGGATCTGATAGCCCTACTGCGTTTGGCTTCTGGCTACGACAGCCATGGCAGTGGCAGGGATGTGTGTCCAAGTGAAAAGCTCACATCACCTGCTGGGAAGGGAGATTGAAAGAGGAGACGGAGGTTCCACACGGGCTCCACGTGTGCTCCAGTGGCTGTGGGGCCTCTCACGGGCCCTTCTACCTGATGGGCACGGCACATCTTTGTTGGTCCAGCTCTTTGTTGGCCCAGGGACCACTGTCTGTGTGCAGACCATGCCAGTGATTAATATTGATTAGAAAAACATAGTTTGTGTTCCTGTCTCTAGATGCTCCACTCTGCAGAGCGCAATCTGAGAGCACCGTGCTGGCTTATCTTTGGTCCTTCCTTGTTTCCTTCCTTCCTAGTCACAGATGCTAACAGAATGGGGCCTCCAATAGTAAAATGAGGATGACCCTTTTAGATGCAATTCGGAGAGGCGAGAAAGATGTGAGAACTGTTTTACATGTCAGATTCTTTGGTGAGCTGCCTATGCCCTGGTAAATAACTCCCCAGCTCTCATCCAAGTTGTCCCATGTAAGCTCAGTGGGTCACACAACAAAGACAGGCTTGCTAGAAATGGGTTTCCAGTGGAAGAGACCTGAGAAAGACCAAAATTCACTATGTGGATGCATGAAACTGAAAACAGAATACATAAAATATTTGGATTCCTGGAATTTGGGACATATTGCATTTAAAATTTATGCAGAATATCATTTTAAGGGAGGACTCCCTTTGTGTGTTTCTCTCTTATTCTCAGAAATATATTTATCTTTTAAATTAACTAGTCACCTTTGCAGTTCAAATAATAGAAAATAGAAGCAGCTCTCTTGGTGAAAAGAGAAGAGTAGACTCCAAAGGCCTGAGAGGTCAAATACATTTCCCCTCAAACTGAATCAACATGGATGTGCTTTCTCTGAATATTGCAGTGTAACTTTCCTGTGTTCCTAAATGGCTAGATTTGGCCATCCGACCAAATTTGGACTCCTATTTTTATGCATGTTGTCCTCATAGGCACAGTTAATTCTACTTGAGAAACTTTTGCGTTAACACCAACATAGCTGTTCCGGGGTGGTTCTCTTAATGTGATAAGCATTCTAACTTCTGCCTAACATAGAAAAAAAAAGAGTGTTTAAAGATGTGGTAGAAATATAGGCAATTTCTGTGCTCTGAATACTTAGGTTCCGACGCGTGAAGAGGCGATGCTTCACTCACGGAGCTCACTCTTGTCTCCCCAGCACTAAAAATTGTTTTCTAAAGTTGACCTTGAGGCTAAGTTCACAATGATCCATTTTAAAGTGACCTTTGGAGCTGGGTTTTGCATTTAGTTCCTATATAAGTGATTTGACTCATCTGGGAAGAGAGTGAGCAATTCCTCAGGATGGAGTGTAACGTCTAAGGAGTTCCCAACACTCTCATAAAATGTCTTTTCATGCATTCGGAAAAAAATGGCATCTTGGAAAGAATTATATCTCATATTTAGTCAGACTACACATTATATCTTCATGCTCATCTATATGTGAACTACGTCTGACAAACTGATCAACTGGCACCCTTTGGGACTCTGAGGTTACTATTGCAATTAGCACCTGCACACATGTGTCCACACACAGCACATATGTGACGCTATGTGGAGGCCTAGTCTTCTGCATTTCTTACAAGAGTCTCCAAGATGGAACTTGATCCCACACTGCAGACACTGTTCTCTTCTGGGCAAGAAGAACCAAACCTTACCTCCACTGTCAACAGTGTCCCATCTTTGGTTACCAGTCTGGGCAGTGTTAGGAAGGATGCTGAATTGGCGCTCAGTGTGACCACTTTGGTATCTTTAATACTATGATGATATTTAAGGTGAATATTAATAAAACCCCAAATTCCAGTGTAATAATAACCTCTGATGGAAGTTGATTTAGTACCTAAGAAGGTGGTGAATTAGCCTAGATAATTTATAGGCTGTTGATAGAGCACTGTCCTTTGTGGCCTGTGGCTTTGTGTGTGGCACCTTTTAGAGCAGATGCTGCCACTACTTTTGACATTTAAGTAATTCATAGCTAAAGCATTGTTGCTGTCAGTTACCTTAAATTTAAAATTTTTACATGGTTTTATTTTTATATAAAAACTGTAATTATCAAATTTCTCTCTTTTATGTGATTCTAGAGATGGGAGTTATTATTATCCAAGTGAAATTTTTAGTCATTTCATACTTAGAATAAAGCTTTTAAAATCATGCCACCCCAACCTTCTATTCAATTGCCTGGGGTTCAGATTTAGCCGCATTTAAACTGGTTAATGTCTAACAGATGGCGCCCGTGCTGGTGTACGCTGTGACGACGTCTTAAACTAACAAGGCACGAGTTCCCCTGCCAGAACACACCTCCTCACAAGGCTGTAGCTTGTAGAACACTAAAAACCATGTACTCATCATGAATAAACAAACAAGACATGACTGAAACAATTCTCATGGGATGTAATTTCAGACACTTCTCTTTCTTTTACTTGAAATTAGAATGATTTTTATTCCATTACAATTATTTTATCTCAGCAGTTGAAATTACATTATCAACACGAAACTATCAAATCAGGTATTCCTTTGCTTCTGGCAAATGGAAGTCATGCACTGAATGCTTTGACATGGGTTATAAATAACCATGAGTCTACCAACTAGAAGCTCGAGTGGAGACAGCACTGCCGGTAATTGATACATTGCATTAGTTCTGTTAATTGTGTGTCAATTACTCTGATGATGTCTTTAAGCCTGCGGCTTGGGAGTGAGGTGGCTTATGATTCCGAACCAGACTTCAGGTGGCCATGCTAATAAGATGAAAAATTAAGTCTCGTCCTTATAATATCACGGGCGCCTAGGAAACTGATTCAAGTGTGTTCTTTTGCCGTGGACTGGACTGATTTCTGAAGCGGTGTCTGGTGTCTTTGAAGCTCGTGGTCCTCTTTGCCAGGCTTTAAAAGCCATTGTGTTTTCCCAGCAGAAGTCACATTTCTGAGTGATTCAAAGGAATAAAATCTTTATGAGCTGCTAGGTCTTGGGAAATACTTATTTTCGTTGAGATGCCTTTATATAATTTGTGTTTTCTAGTTTCACACACAGAAAGAGATGCTGTGGAAATGTTAGTTGATGTCATTCCTCTTAGCATTTAAAATTTTTTCTCACCTGTGACAGATTTCTAAACGTTAAAAACCCATGAAAAATGATGGTACATTGTTTCCAACTCTAAGCTCATAAAACCTTTCTGAAAATTCGACAGTGATCAAAGTTGATTTCAGGTTGCATAACCCTCTGTAGAAATGTCCGCATGACAGGCTAGTGTCTTCACACAAAAGCACAAAGGGTTAATTTCATCTCGCAGCTCTCAGTTCCCACTCCATCACCGAGGGCAGGGTCAGAGCAGTGACCTGGAGATGCAGATGAGATGCCTTGGCAAGACTGCTGTTGCTCACTGGCTGGCTCCTATCACTTGCTCAGCCTGCTTTCTTAGACTCCCCGGGATGCCTGTCTGGGAAAGCTCCACCCACAGTCAGCTGGCCTTCCCCACACCAGCCGTTAATCATGAAGATGCCCACAGAGGCTTGTCCACAGGTCAACCAGGTGGGAACATTTTCTCGATTGTGAGTCCCTCTCCCCAAATGGCTCGAACTCATATCAAGTTGACAAAGCACTGTGACAGTACCTGGAATGTGACCCAGTGTGATATGCTTTCCCGGCTAACCGGTCAGTTACCGATTCAGAGATATTTATTGATTACCTGCTGTGAGTGTATATGGTGGTTTGAGTAAAAATGGTCCCCGTAGGCTCATAGGGAGTGACATTATGAGGAGGTGTGGTCTTGTCAGAGTAGGTGTGGCTTTGTTGGAGGAAGTGTGTCACTATGGGGGTAGGCTTGAGGTCTCTAATGCTCAAGCCAGGTCTAGCGTGACATTCACTTCCCGCTGCCTCCCAGTTCAGATGCAGAACTCTCAGCTCCTTTTCCAGCACCAGGCAGTGTAATGTTATCATAGAAATGCTTAATAAAAAATTTAAATCCGGTGTTTTCCTTCAGCCAGTTAAACCTGACTTTGGTGCTGAGAACCGCTGTCTGCCTGGTGTCCCTAGCTCTTTACGGTGCCCCAGGAGCAGCATTTCCCTGTGCTGATGCCTTCAGGAAGCTAGCACTTCGTGGTGGTGGTAGAGTACAGCACTATCGGAGCACAGGGACCCAGGCGCCAGATCAGGTGTTGTTTGGTGGTGTGATGAGTTGTTAGGGGCTGGATGTCACCAGTGACTCCTGAGTGAGAGGATTGTCACCTCGGAGCTGGTCAGGCTCACGGTGTCCCTCTCACTCAGGCTGACTGTCTCGGGGTCTGGTGTTTTAGTTTACACGGGCTCCACAGGACTTCTTGTGTTTGCTGAGTTTGAGGGCCAGCGTTAGGTGTCAGGATGCCTGGAAGACTTAAGGTAATGATGACGTAGGTGGAGGAGATAGGGAGATGCAAGAGCAGG